GAAGGAAGGAAGGAAGGAAGGAAGGAAGGAAGGAAGGAAGGAAGGAAGGAAGGAAAAGAGTCGCTGGGAGTTGGGCAGCATATACAAATTATTATAAATTTCTTAAAGCATTATAAGTTTCATAAAGTAGTATAAACTTGATAAAGTATTGTAACTTCCACAAATCATTATTATTAAATGATTGAAAAGCTCAGACACAGAAGACTTGAACGAAGAGACTCGTACCTGTTAAAAGATGCCTCCTCTGGTCTCCTGCTGTCCTTTTAGACCAAATCTATTTTTCCTTCCGCTGGACAATGCTGGATTTCAGCTCCTGTCGTCTACTGCTATAGGAGTCGTAATCGAATGCACACGATGGGTTGGAGGAGGCTGTTTGAAAGAGGATGTGCTCCGGTGGGGGTTGGTTGCAACCTTTCTTCAGGGGAAAAAGTAAAAATAAATAAGAAAAAGTAGAGAGTCAGGAAGATGATCTTGATGCAGAAGCTGTTCCCTTGGCAAAAGGGGCTGAAAATTTTTTAAGTCCAGAACAGTGAGCTAACATTTAGAAACAGCTCAGACAGACACCTCCCTATTTCACAGGAGTATAAGAAGGGGGAGGAGGTCCAGCACAATCCGACTTGCAAGATGTCAATCTCAATAAAAGCAGTTTTAGCCTTCCGGTGGAGTTGAATTCATGGACTGCTCTACATAGTGGGCTAACAGAGAGGAAACTACCTGTCTTTCTTAGCCTGTGCCCTGACTTCTTCTTGCTACAGGTCTCCTGGTCCCCTGGCGTTGGCTGGCGGTTGCGGGAGAAGTCCCGGTTCTTCTCATGATCTGTCTGGTCTTCTTCATGCCTGACTCGCCGCGTTTCCTGATTTCCAAGGGGAAGGAAGACGAGGCCCTCGGCGCGCTCCAGTGGCTGAGAGGCAAAGATGTGGATTTTTGGTGGGAATATGAGCAGATCAAAGCCAGTGTTCAGGAACAGGTATGTCTATATCAAAAAGTGAACTGCAGGGGGTTAACAAATATATGGAGTTTGTGGCCTTGGCTTGCTTCACCCATAGCACAAAACCCTGGTCTGTTCTTGGCTCTCAAACAGGATGCCAGAAGTGACTCCGTGGGATTTAGAACTTGCTAGTGGGGGTGGGAAATGGTTCAGACTGGCCACTTGGTCTCTCTGTGTTTCTCCAGAGCCAACCCATTTCTTGGACAGAGATCCGGAAGCCTTACATCGTCAAACCCATTGTGATAACTCTGTTGATGAGATTTCTACAGCAGCTTTCGGGGGTTACCCCAATCCTGGTCTATTTGCAGTTGATATTTGACAGCACAGAGGTCATCCTGGTAAGTCAACCTGTAGGATGTCCAAAGACCTTTCTCTACCTGAAACAAACAAGGTGTCACCTTTTCTCATTCCATATTCAAGTCTGACTGGTTGGGCCCAAATTCTGTCATCTGAAGCTCTTCCTAATCTCAACCTGTCTGCGATCATTTCTCATTTGTTCTCTATCCTGTTGGCTGACCACATGTCAGCCACATGTCCGCGTTTACAGAAAAATGCTATCCAGTTGAAGGATACCTCTGTATCTTTTTTAAAAAATCAAAACCCATAGAAATAACGTCTTCTTCAGAGCAGCTGAAGCTTTCCAAGATGGTGGGGGAGCAAGTTTCGGAGACTTTTTCATCCGTCAAATGGGTTAAAACTCATTAAAAAGAAAGGAGAAAGAATGTCTCTGATCTTGGGACCACGTAAATATTCTGTGTATATATTCTGAGCTTAGAGAAATGAACGAAGCTGTGAAGCCTACATATTTGGTGATGTTAGATTGTATTAAAGGTGGTCTCAAGTGTTTGTCCTGCCTAGTTTGGACATCTGAACTTGGCCTCATTTATTGCATTTAGGTATTTCATTTCCCTCCCAGCCAATGCAACTCCTAGTGCTCTATATGGAAAGAAATCTAGATTTGTCCTTCCCAAGTCTAGTTTACAGATGGATTCTGAGGAGTCATAGCAAGGGCTCTGAAGCTGCCCTCAACCCCAGACCAAAAGCCTCACGACCTACCAATCCATAAATCATCCAATAAAAAGGGACTTTTTGTGTTAAAATACCACCACAGGAAAGGGCAGGAAACAGCCATTTTAAAAAAATGGTTTTATTACATTATAAAATGCAAATAGTACATTATAGGATATAAATAATAGTTGAGTACAGTGGTCTTTGTGCAATCAAAGCTGGAAGCTATCAACACTATGATGATGGAAGTAAATTAACCAACCATTTTGATTACAGTTACAACCATATTTTTTTTGCCTTTGCAGGCCCCTCAGTACGACGCTGTTATTGTGGGGGGTGTTCGCTTAGCCTCTGTACTGGTTGCTGCTTTCTCGATGGATAAAGCCGGGCGAAAGATTCTCCTCTATGTCTCTGGTATGGGTTTTGTAGTCTCTCCTTTCACTCACACACACACACACACACACAGAGACATGTTAGTGCCCCTGCCTGTATATCTGCAAAGACAAAATCCAATTCTGGATAAACTTTTAGAATGGTTGGGCCCCCAAAGCCTGCCCGAATCACAGGGCCAAAAATCAGTGGCTAGATCTCTTGCCATTTGCTTGCTAGATCACAGACAAATGGTGCTTCCACACCGCTGTCAGGATGCTGAACGTTTTATTAAAAAATGGAGTATGAATGTTCTAGTTATGGAAAGAGTGCATCCACTGTTTTAAGAGAGGCTGTTTTAGCCCACCTGGATACTTTTTATTGTAAATAGGTTGCTGGACCAAATAGATTCAGGTTCCTCTCCAGCAAGTCTTACTGAATTATGTTCCTGCTTATTGTTTTACAATGCCAGGGTGTACCTCAAACTAGCATCTATGAGACCTGCTGCACTACAAGTCCCATCCTCCCTAGGTGGACTGGGAGTGATGAGAGTTGCAGTCCAACACACCTGGAGGGCACTGGGTTACGGGAAGCTTAGAAATACACATCTGATTTTTCAATTTCATTGTCTGGGGGGTATTGTTCCTAGGTCAGAAGACATTTTAGGTGATGGGTCCAAAGCCAAATTCCAGTGTTAGCAATGGCGTGGTTGGATAATTTAGGACAACCACAATGCAGTTGTGATTTCTGTGATGGCTTCAAGATGTGTTTTCTTCCCTTTCTTTCCTATGATCATCATAGCTTGCATCATGCTCGCCTCAAATCTAACGTTGGGCTTGTACATCCACTTCATCCCTCGGTTTTCCCATAACTGTTCGGTGATGGTGGTGAATGGGACCCACGAGGGCCTTGCCAACAGTTCAATGGTGGGTCTTACAGTGATCCCTTTGATTGCCACCATGTTCTTCATCATAGGTATGTAAGGAAGGGTGGATGGCCAGCTTTTTAACTAGAGATCAACTTTCAGGAGCTTCTCCAGGACAGCTCTGGGAGGTGGCCAGAAGACAACCAGCTGTAGAAAACGTGACAGCAGCTTGTTATAAAGCTACAGTGAATCTGCCCTTGGAGTTTCTCCCAGTTGTTGGACCTTGAGCAGAAGCTTGACAGGGATGGGCATGTATGAGCATGCAAGATGACCCCAACAAGATAACAGTAGGCCTGTTGGATTTTGTTTCTTGGTGGTCACCCACCAGATGCTGATGGGGTCCCTGCAAGCAGGAGAGATCATCCTTCTGGAATTATGGGGTCCATGTCATTCCAAGAAACCAAGGGATCCTGGTTTAAACCTGGATTCTGAGTCTAGCCTCATGATGATTGGTCAAGGCAAATGCCACTCAAATAACTTTCAATCAGGGTCCGTCCTTTTAGCTGGATTCTGAGTCTAGCTTTGTGAGGATTGGGGCAATAGAACTGTCACTCAGAAGTTTTCAACCAAAGTCCCTCCTCTCAGCTAGATTCCCAGTCCTTTTTTTTTTTTTAAATGATTAGGACAATGGGAACTGCAACTCAAAGAATTTTAAACTTGGCCCCTTCCTTTCAGCTAAATTCTGAGTCTAGTCTTGCAGTGATTGGGCCAATGGCACTGTCACTCAAAGAATTTTAAACCAGGGTCCCTCCTCTCAACTGCATTCTGAGTCTAGGCTCATGATGGTTGGGGCAATGGTGCTGTCACTCAAAGAATTTAAACTGGGGGCCCTCCCCTCCACTGCATTTTGAGTCTAGCCTCATGTCGATTGGGTCAATGGAACCATCACTCCAAGAATCTTAAACCGGGACCCCTCCCCTTCCGATGGCATTCCGAGCCTAGCCTCGAGATGATTGGGTCAAGGGAACCATCACTCAAGATTTTAAACCTGGCCCCTCCTCTCAGCTGCATTCCTGAGGGAGGGGCATGGAATGGAGCAGGCTGAGGTTCCAACGGTTTCCAACTGCCAACTCAAGAGAGGGACCTGGGCAGGTTGGGTGGGTGGGCATGCCTGAGGGAAGCTGTTGACCCCAATAAATCAATAAATTCAGCTAAAGAAGACTGAAGTGTACAATAGAAGAATAACCTGGAACCAAGGGGCTAGTCTGGCTAGGAGAATACCCCCCGCCAAACTTAAATTGCAACCCTAAGCAAATCTGAGCTGCTCAAGTCCTCCCAAAGCCAAGCCCAAATATATTCAATATGAATACCTGGTAAAGATCTTTCTAAAGATGAACGTTCTGTATCCGAGCGGAAGGACGGTCTTATCAACAGCGAGCGTGTTCTTTTATTCAGTATAGAGAAGTCCAACGTTTTTAAGCTGAGCCATAAGCGGCAAATTCTTGCCGACGAACGTTACGCTTGAGCCAATTGTGACCTGGAATTTCAGGCTTTATTATTAGCATTTTATGGGCCATGCTATCTCTATTCTCGGCTCATTCCGCTCAGCCATAGAAGACTCCCAAACTGGGAAAAGTTTTGGTGGTGGCAGAAATACCAGGAGGAAATCTTATCTAAGTCGGTAGAGGAACACATTTCTGATTATTTCTAACACAAATATGTTCTCAAGCAATCTAATAGATTGCTTGAGAACATATTTGTGATGTTCTCAAGCAATCTATTAGATTGCTTGAGAACATATTTGTGATGTTCTCAAGCAATCTATTAGATTGCTTGAGAACATATTTGTGATGTTCTCAAGCAATCTATTAGATTGCTTGAGAACATAACAAATATGTTCTCAAGCAATCTAATAGATTGCTTGAGAACATATTTGTGTTAGAAATAATCAGAAATATGTTCCTCTACCAACTTAGATAAGATTTCCTCCTGGTATTAAAACTCAGGCACCCGAGTTGGCATTGGAGCTGGAAAGAACATAGTCCTTGAATCTGAGAAACACCCAATTCCTTTGCAAAGTGGCTTTTCCGCTCCCCACAACAATAACGAATCACAAGCGCTTCAAACAAAGCGAAAGGCATTTATGAAGGGGACAGTCAAGTCTTTATATACGGTACAGAAACAAACGATACCTACATTTGATATGCTGAATTTGGTGTGTCAGAAAGCAACAAATCAAACAATAAAAGACGCTGATGCGCGATAAAGGCTTTGTTTTGTTAGACGTGAGAAAAGACGGACACCCTTAAAATATGTTGCATCTCCTCCTTTCCCATCTGGGTTTGTTTCTTTAACACTTGCAACTTTAATCAGGGACTTCACAATACAGCCCTTTTGTTGGGTGAATGGCTTTGGCTCAAAGGGAAAACATGGCTTCATGATCTTCAAAAGGAGGCACGGATGCCGTGCTAAAATGCTGATATAAAATGCTAATAATAAAGCCTAAAATTCTACGTAACACCAGCAGCCTTCAGCTAGTCTTTGTCCCCAACCTGTTGTCCTCAAGGCCTTTGAAGACCTTCCTCCATGACCTCCTTTGAAAGCCATCCAGGTTAGTGGCCATTGCTATCTTTTGTGGCCATTAATTTCAGAGTTTAATTATACGTGGGGTGGAGAATTATTTTATCTGCTCTCTGTTCACTTTCTCCATGCCGTGAATGATTTTATGCACTGTGATTGTGTCCCTTCTCAATCGATAATTAGGAGTATTTAGCTTAGAGGGCAAAAAGTTGAGATGATGAGAGGCATGATGGAAGTGAATAAAATTCTATATTGGAATCCAGCAGATCTAACTAAAAGTGACAAAAAAGCAAGTCTTTCACTCAGGGCATAGGTACAGTGACTATACGTCCTTTATTATAAAGGACACTCCGTTATTTCAGAAAGCTGTCCTTCAGATTTATTTAATTTAATTATTTATTTTCTTGGTTTTGCTCTTGAATTTTCCTTTGTAAAGCAAAGTTATAAACAGTTTTTTAAAAATAAAAATCTTTATGAGCGTCTTTCAGATTTGCCCCTTTTTCAGGTTGGTCCTTTATTTTTTTCCAAGAAAATATGGTCACTGTAGGCATAAGTGAGGTGTTTGGACTATAATTCCCCAAATTTATCGGCTTTGCTACATGGATCTGATGGGATCCATCCAAAACATCTATTAGACAACTGACTGGTATCATTAAACTATCAAAATTTGTGATTATGATATGTCACCTTGGCTTTTTGAGGCTGAGTTTCACACACTGTGTCAGCCCACTATGTGCTTTTCGTTTAGCACAATGTGTGAACGTGGCCATTATGGCTTGTAAGTCATAGCTTATGGCTTCATGTTGTGAAAACCCAGCCAATTGTGATTTATTCAATAAGCCTACACACGTCAAAACTGAATGGAACGTGAAAGCCTGCCAAATTCATGGAGAAGGCTGTCAACTTCAGCTGAGGAAATACTTCTTAGGAATCTTCCATATTTAAAATTATTGGAAAACCAAAACAGGACTCTTGTGGACTGTTGCCCTCATGTAGGCTCCATCTTCTTAAATCTTGATCCAGTTCAGAATTTCTTGGTTGGGATTACACATTACAGCCTATGAACTAGGGTGTATGGCTTGGCAATATGAATCCAGCCAGTTGTGACCTGTTCAACTAAAGCTGGTTAAAACAAACCTGGTTGTTGAGCAACATGTGCTTCCTATCATTGTGCAGTTTCCACAGATTGGATCTTGCTGTCCCTCTGGTTGGCCATACCAGAACGTTCTCAGAGCTGTCATGGCAAAGGACAAAATGGTGCCCATTCCATTTCACCTACGAAAGCTCTCTACTTGAGCTCTGGCAACAGGGCAGGTCCTCCATCACATCCCAGGACAATGAATTAGAATTAGATGCGGTGTTGTCCTTTGTAAGAAGAATAGCTGCATCCAGTCACTCAAGTATAGTTTCCCCTCTGCTTCTGATTTTTTTTAATTACTCTTCTTTTCTTCTCCTAGGCTATGCCATGGGCTGGGGTCCCATCACATGGTTGTTGATGGCAGAAGTTCTTCCTCTGAAGGCCCGAGGGGTGGTCTCTGGTCTCTGTGTACTTGTGAGTTGGTTGACTGCCTTCGCTGTGACAAAAGTCTTTCTGTTGGTTAAGGTAAGAACGTGGTGAATTTGTACCTATAGCCCTGATTTAGGTTTAATAATCAACTCCTTTCCTCCAGGGGGGCAGCTAGAGCTAATCTTGCAAAATTAAGTGGAGTTGGACCTGGGTTGTACTTGGATGAGAGACCATTGTGAAATGCCCAGATGATAAGCTAATCTGGGAAGTCAAAACACCATCTCAGAAGAAGGCAGGGGCATACAGTTGTTGCGATAACTAGATGGATGCAAGAAATCGCCATGAGTTGAGCTCAACTCAGAAGAGAGCTTACCTTCTAATTTCCTCCAGGAATTGGAGAGCGATCTCAAAGTCTCTTTGCAAAACTACCCTTCCCGTTATCCTTTTCGCTGTGACCCTTAAATCAATATAAATTGATCTTTATGTGTCAATCGGGTTAACATCTGACCTTCCTTCACCATTTGCATACTGTCCTCTAGTTTGCTCCCTGCAATGACAGTCTTGTAACATAGCCTAAGATGCCGAATATTGACTATCCAAAGCCACCTGATGAGCTTCCATGGCTGAGGTTGACTTCAGTTTGGGTTTCTGTGATCCCAGTCTAACAATTTAATACAACACTTCGGAGGTGTATTCATACAACATTACTAAATCACATCAGGCTCTCAGTTGGCTGCATCACCCCAACACAAAATGCTCTAAACCATTGTTGATCAACCCAGTGGCTGGATGAACAGAGCAGATTAAGGCATAATGCGGTTGGTCTGGTTTTGGTTTAATGTGCTTTTTTTCCTCAGTACTTTCCTATCTGATAGTCTTAACAGCTCATTTGTTATATTTGCCAGGAAAAATACGGCCTGGAAGTGCCTTTTTTTTTCTTCAGCACCATCTGCGTGGTGAGTCTCGTCTTCACCTATCTCATACCTGAAACCAAAGGAAAGTCCTTGGAACGGATAGAGTCCTACTTCCGCACTGGGCGGAGATCATTCCTGGAGTCATTCCGACGCCACAGGTGAGCATCCAACACCAGCTCAAGTCTGGATGCTGAAAGTGGCACTTTTCAGGCGGACATCAGGTTATCGCTATCAAAGGGAGCACTTGTTCCCCCCCCCCCAAACAGGGAGTGTACCAAACAAATTGTTAATTTGTTCGCTAAAATGGAAGGGGGAACTGCTGTAGTACCTGAGAGATTCAAAACAAAACAAGAAGTTCTCTATTTGAATCTCATCTTTGCCATGAACTTTTGATGGTCGTTGCCAGGCCTTGATCTGGTCCCTTCCCAGCTGCAACGTGGGAACTCTTGTACTTACTTACCTTACAAGCTTGTTGTTAAGAACTATTGATAATCATGTATTAACTGTAGTGCTGCATAAACATGAAGCATATGGCTGAGAAGGGCAGGTTGGTTTTTAAAAATATATATCATATTTTCTCCTTGTCCCAGGAGAAAAAAAAATGGTCCCAGCTGGGAATAGGGTATGCAGGGCAGTTTGAGAGAATGTATTGAAGTTGTTTGCAGTTGGCATTATATACAGCTCTAACATATTTGTACGTGTATTTCTTTCAATGGCCCATGCTTTCAATAATTAAGAAACATTTGCTAATGAACACAAGATAATGCAGGCTTAGTTAAACTCAAGAGCAATCGAAGAACAGTTAGAAGCTTCTTGGAGTAAAAATCCTGACTCCAATGCCAGAGAATTCCACCCAACCCCAAGCTTTTCAAGCATTTCTTATGCAGAGATCCTTCCCAATTTTTCCCTTTAACAAAGAAGGCTAGAAACTTAGAGTTTTTTTAAAAAATACTGCTGAGGGAATAGAAATGAAGTTATCACTCATAAGAGGAATCTACAGAAAAGATGACAAAGGATCATTTTCCCAAGTTAGCAAAGGACTTACTACTTCTTTCTTTCTGAAGGAGAGCAAAAATTGTGCTTTAATCCCCCAGTACCATCTTCAGATTTCAGTAAGAACACACACCGAATGCATCTTTGCATGCACCCAACTACAGTAAAAAAACATTAAAACCACAAACCATATTACCAGAGGTAGAACGGTCTTTTTATTCACT